ATCAGTTTCCGGTCGGACAAGACCGCGTGGTCGGAAATTAAGCGATAAGCGGTCGATGAAAAAGCGGAAGGTTCGGCGAAATGAGTACTGTATGACCATGTTTCTCCAACGAAGTCTCGACTGACAATAATGCTGACAATGGACGTTAGATAAACACGCATTGTTTGCAACTGGAAGCTTATCACCCGTTATATCAGAATCGTCAACAACAGAGTATACAGATAACATGTTATCATTTAAACCCTTTCAAAGATGAACATTATGCAAATATCCACGAAACGCCAGTTGTAGTCTTTTCTGCTAGTGTTTTAAAACACTAATTTGAGCAACGTTATTTCGCAATTTCGATCTTTTGTAAACCTGGGATGATGTATCAAGGTCTAAAGTAACCGTTTTATCAATTTTTGAAAAATCAAGAAAAAAGTGAAAATTTCCCTTCTCGCTACCTTAAGTCCAGGCTTCTACACAAATGTGTTTGTAGTACCAAATGTACAGGTGGCGGACGCCCAATTATGGACCTAGACAGACTGAATCGGTATGTGCTCCTCGAGTGGTTCTGCATGGAGATGCCATTCAGTGTTTTTCTCTCCATCCACCGTTTCGACTGGCTATCCAAACTAGACTTGAGCGGGGCCTACCTGCACATACTGATGCACCCAGAGAGTTGCCATCCCCTTTGAATTGCCCAGCTGGTTCAAGTATTCGATTTTCGGGTGACCCCCGTTCGGGTTATGCACAGTGCCGTACGTGTTCACCAGAATGATGAAACAGGTAGTGCTGCTCCTTCACCAAATGTCGGTACACCTCAATCCGTACCTAGACGACTGGTTACTACACAACCCAGACAAGGGGTTAACACGTCAGGCTAACACTATTTACTTCACCAGGTGGGCTCTTTAGTAAATCGACAAGTCCCACCTCAGCCCAATGCACAGTTGGTGTTCCTGGGCATGGAGTTTGACACAGAGGTAAGCTTGGTATAGCTATTTCAAGCATGTTGCTTAGCGCTAAGCAGCCTTGCCATACGCCCAGTCAGCATTCCCTCACTGTCCCTCCGAGAACTAATGCGGATCATTGGAATGATGACCTCAGTTCGAAGGGTGGTTCCCCAGACCGTACCACACAGCTGCCCAGGATAACACTTGTTGTTACAACGCCGAGCTCTCCTATGGGAATTAGATAGGCGGGTTTTGTTCTTGAACCAAGTGAAGGAAGCCCTGCCCTCATGGTTGTCACTGGCCAACCCCAGAAAGGGGGCCCCCTTGGACCAACTCGCCACAGGTATGACTCTGGTAACATATGCCTCCCTCCAAGGTTGGGGAGCGCATCTATTGGACGAACAAGCCCAAGGATATGGCCCTCGCATTAGTTTCGGACCACCTTATCAACCAGCTCAAACTGAAAGCAGTATACTTAGCACTACCACACTTTCTACCCGTAGTTCGAGACCACAGAGTCCTGCTCCGCACACGCAACACAGCAGTGGTCTCCTTCAAGAAGGAGGGGGCGTTCCTCATCGTTGTTAGTCCTAGCGGAGCAAATTCTCCTTTAGTGCCTGAAATACAATGTGGAGCTAATCACACACTACCTTCCAGCGGTGAGGAAAAGTCTGGCAGACGCCCTGCCAGGGCGGCTACGTCTCCAGAACACGGAGTGGTTGATACCCCAGTGGGTAGCTTCCACACTGGTTCGGCTGTGGGATAGTCCAAAGATAGACCGGAATGCCAAGCTCCAGATGTACATAACACTCCTGCAGACTCCAGGAGCTTGGGCCAGGGTCGCTTTGCTAACCCTGTGGACCCACTTAGTTGTGTACGCATTTCCCCCCTTCCCTCTAGTTCACCGGGCACTGTAGAACCAAGGCCTAGTTTTCTACTTCTGTTGGAAATGCTAGTCGAAACACTAGTAGTGCTTCCGGACTTACCAGACCTGCTGTCCTAACTGGATGGCACACTACCAACGAGTCCAGCGGGTATCACTTACACGCATAGAGGCTCTCAGTAAACCTGCACATACAAAAGGTTTATCTGAGCGGGCTGCCAATGTCCTGGCCAGGGCAAACAGGGATTCCACCAAGGCTGCCTACATTTCTAGGTCGCGAGCATACACTGATTGGTGTAGCGGAAGGGAGATTGATCCATACCATCCATCCATTGGCCAGGTAGCAGACTCCTTCATCCACCTGTTTGACGAAGTGGGTTTGTCCTACGCAACGATTGTTGGCTACAGGTCGGCCTTGTCCCCCACCATTGAGAATGCTTTAGGAACAAGACTAGCCGATTGTCCTATTATTAGGAGACTATTTACTTCTTTCTATAATCAGAGCCCGAGACCCCGTACAAAGGAACCGCCCAACTAGGATTTGTTGATTGTGTTGTTTGCTTTAAATGGACTGCACTTTGAGTCTCTCTGATCAGAACCACTCAAATTTTTGACGTGGAAAATAATCTTCCTACTGACCCTCGTCTCAGGTTGGCATTGCAAGAAATGGGCGCATTGTCCTTCTCGGACGATGTACCACCTTTATGGACAATCAAGTTGTGCTAAAGACACGAATCAGGTTTCTCGCCAAGAGGAAAATCCAAGGATAATATCGCCATCCCCCGGCTGTCAAATTTTGTTAGCCCGGAGGGTCAGAAGGAATTGCTTCTCTGCCCGATTCTAGCACTGAGTTGCTACAAAACTGTACTAGGGATTCATAATGGAGTTCCAAGCACATGTCACATGGCTGGCCTCCCCTACTTCCATCGCCAGGTGGATCACTGCAACTGCATTAAAGGTCTTATAATACTTTAATTACCTCAACACAGAGCTTGCAGAGACACAAAGTACAAGCGCATGAGGTCTGTGCGATTGCTAACTTGCTAGTGCTAGCATCAGGCGGCCCCCCGAGCACACACTGAAGGCAGGTTTCTTGAGAACGCAGAACATTGTTATCAACTACTACCTAAGAGTCACCCAATCTATTGAGAAGGGTCTCTTTAGGTTGGGTCCCATCATAGCGGGTCAGACTTGGTTTGCTGACCCAGCCCAAACAGCCACAAGGCTCCCTGTGCATAGGTGATAAGTCAGTCTCGGCATTTTTGCGAACATATTTCTCCCTGCAGCACTCCCAGGAAACCCCCAGGTCCCGCTCTCCGGCGTACGCCCTCATGCAGAACTGTTTCGGTCTTTACTTTGAAAGCATACTACCCCTGGAATTGGGTTGGGGTCTAGCTTTCTCGGGCACATCAAACCCTGTCACCCTAGCAGCCCTTTGGCTTCTAGCTCCGGGACAGCACAGGCAAGGTAACACACAACCCTTTTTGGGTCTAAGGTGTTGAGTGTTTCATCCCGGACTGTAAAAAGACTTTCATAATTTTTCTGTTTGCTCGGAAAACCCGCCACCTATCGGTATATGACTCTGCCTACAGTTAAAAATAGTCATTTTGACTGACCGAAGTCTATGGCGGGTAATTGAACGCAGTGAATTTAGGCAGAGGGTTCTCCAAACCCGCCTATTCACATAGTTCATACCCAATAGACTCCGCCCCCCAACCACCCCACTCCTTCCGTAGCATTGGTCTAAGTCCTCGATGCGGAGAAAAAGGAATCAGAGTGAATATCCAGCACATGGTTTGTGACGTAAGCGAAAAGAATCTTGGGGTCATGGGGCTTCTCCTGACCTAGATTCTATCTCTCTGTCAATGACAGAATCGCTCCGGGGACAGCACAGGCAAGGTAACACACCACCCTTTTTGGGTCTAATGTGTTGAGTGTTTCATCCCGGCCTAAAAAAAGACTTTCATCATTTTTCTGTTTGCTCGGAAAACCCGCCACCTATCGGTATCTGACTCTGCCCACAGTTCAAAATAGTCATTATGACTGACCAGAGTCTATGGTGGGTATGAACTATGTGAATATGCGGGTTCGGAGAACCCTTTGCCTAAATTTAAACGAATTCGGTAGAAGTCTACATATTGCGTTGTCACATTCATTTTTTTTGTTCTAGGTATTACCTATCATGCTTTTCCTAGGTTCTATAGTTGCATTGTTATACCACGTGGGCGTGATGCAGGTGGTTATCGGCAAACTGGCGTGGTTCTTACAGTTCACCATGGGATCATCAGCAACAGAATCTATGAACTCAGCCGGGAACGTCTTTCTTAGTATAGTTAGTATCCAAATGCACATATATACACGTTATAGCCACTGATGACGTATCTTAGGGATGCACTATACTTTTCAGGAGAGGTCATATTTATCATAGGTTGTTGGATTTTCAATGAAATACAATGAAGTCAACGGCATTCTTTAAACCTCTCCCAAAACAAAATTAGTATTTGCTTGCACAATTTCGATAGACAAATAATTCATATCTCGCCTCAACATACTTGCTTTAGAATGTGTGTCGACGAGAATATTATGTAATTATTACGAAAATTATTATTGTAGGCAGAGGCACCTCTCATGGTAGCACCGTACATAAAGAAAATGACACTATCTGAACTTCATGCTGTGGCGACTGGAGGCTATGCGACTATAGCTGGAAGCGTCATGGGTGCTGCTATTGCATTTGGTCTCAGTCCTTCGTACCTAATCACCGCCTCAGCTATGTCAGCACCTGCATCTTTAGCTATATCTAAGCTGTTTTACCCGGAAACAGAGAAATCACCATCAGACAAAAAATCGATTCAAATAAGTATACCGTAAGTGACTTCGCAGCTGGGAATTTTTTTACAATTGTAGCAATTGTATCATAATCATGGGCCAACGCTGAATTATCCGTTCACACATATTTCCCCGACACGGTTTTGGTGTCATCCGTGCTGCTAACCATATGAAAACATGATTTTAATTACATGTCTTAAGAAAGTGCTGTTATGACTTATACTTATCAGCCATAAACGAAGCTACAAATAAATAAATATGAGCGCAAATGACTTATCTTTTTTGTATACAGATTGGTCTTAATCTTTATCGAATAAGAACACATTAAAATAATGCATTACAGTTTTGGTGAAATAAACTGTATACAAACTACGACACCCGACACTCGAATTACTGTGCATTATCAATTAATTAAATGTTGTTCTACATACTATATATTTAATATGTAACTCTTAAGATTGTATTTGTTCACAGAAAACATCAGAATGTGCTGGACGCTATTTCAAGTGGTGGGTTGGCCGCTGTTCCGCTATGTGTCAGCGTTGCTTCTAATTTCATAGTGTTTCTGGCAATACTCGCATTTTTTAACGCTTTTTTGTCGTGGGCAGGTGGAATGGTGGGTTATCCAGAGCTAAGCTTTGAGGTTAGTTGTCAAATTTACTACCGTTACAAACATGCTGTTGGCTTTCCCATGCCGTGGCATTCTACAAAATAAAACTCGTTATTGAGATGACGCCTTTGTTTGTGCAAACTCATACTAGTGTTTGTTTTATAAGTTGCTGTTTCTTATACAGACTAGTAGTAATGAATTGTGTTAATCACACATTATCACATATAAATGTGTATAGGTGATGGAGACGCGAGAAAACAGGAAAGATTATGGAGATACCATATCAGACAAATAATTTACATCCACCTCATTCAGCCAAAGCAGATGTAAAATATGAGTGTAGAAATATGATTATAAGCAAATGATTGCAAGGCTCCCATAATTCACAAATACTCAAATTAGTTTATGAGACATTAGTGTGACCTTTAGTGAGGCTTTGAGTGACTAGAATTTCAATATATTTTACAATCTTAAAGTTCCACATACTCTATAGTAACGATTATACCTAATATAATTGCACAAGCGATTGTTTAGTGGTTAAAAGAGTGAGAATCATAGGAAAATGGAGCCACTGAAGACATTCGATAGCCAATGAAACACTCTCATTTGAATTTGCCTGTAATGTGAAATTTTTATTAATAGTATATTGAATTTCCATAAAACAAACGTCTTCTTGAACACATTTGTAGTACGTAGTACAGAATTTAACCTAACTTGCATGTGTATTCTAGGTGATTTGCTCGTGGGTGTTTATGCCGGTAGCGTTTCTAATGGGAGTTGACTGGGAAGACTGTGCTATCGTAGCTGAACTCATTGGCATGAAGATTGTCACCAGTGTATTAGTTTCATATGATAAACTTGCTGTCATAGTAGCGAACCGTGAACTTGGTCTGACTCCAACAATATCGGTAAGTTGTAAAACGGACACCACCACACTCTTCAAAACTACTACCTTTCCGTCGTCGTGGGGTGGCGCTATGTACATTTGCACGTTTGAATGAAAATACACATCTTTCTGACAGCGTCGTGGATACCGGGCCTGTTGTATGTCTGTTTTCACCGAGATTAGGGCCTGGATCCAGTTATTTTTTTAAATTAGTTATTATGCCCACTTCCAATAGATTTTCTGAAACATCCCATTTCCAAGTAAATGCTTACCTCATATATGCACTGGTTTAGGACATGAATGCACCTGCGCAGAGATCTGGTCAGTCACGATTCACCGACGCCAATTTATTAGGCAATGGCGCAAAATTGCCTAAGGAAAACAAATCAAACAAAAAATGCAACATACCTTCTTCCAAGTTGAAAAGCCATAATTTTTTGTACTTTTTCATGTGATGACGCGTAAATGCAAACTTTAAATATTGCACTGTCCTCTGACATATAATCTGTTCCCTGATATAATCATCAAGATCAAACACGTGTTACGTATGTGTAACTGGTGTTTATTTCCTTCATTATTGGTCAATATATGCACAACAAATTATATCAACAATTACATGTATTATACACTCTGTCTTTATAGCCTCGTTCTGAACTCATCGCTACATATGCTCTATGTGGGTTTTCTCATTTGGCTGGTATTGGTATGACGTTGGGGACGCTCGTCGGACTTTGTCCTGAACGCAAGAGGGATATCAATGCAATCGTTGTTAGAGCTATGATTGCCGGGAATTGTGCCAACTTTATGACAGCTTGTATAGCAGGTGAGGAAAGAAGTCGTAGTCAGAAAACAGAAATACATATTGATGAATTAATGTTGGTACTTAGTAACATGTGTAAATATTGGATTCTCTAGTTTTAGAAAAAAAACATGTTCTTCCTTTTTGCGATGAGAGGGCGCTCTGTGGCATCATAATGACGTAGAGGGTTGTAATCAATAGACATATCGAAACTATATCGACGATACGAACGGTATTCATACATTCACAAAATCACATTGCAACTTAAAAATGATGTGTTTGTGCAGTTAACCATTTTAAAACCAATGATGCGTAAAAGTTTTTTTCCTGTTCAGATGAAAAAATATGATCAAAATTCTAGCTATTTTTTTAACATTGGTAAAAAAAATTCAGACTATATATTGTTCAGTTATCAATTTAATACACTATCAATTTTCACATTCTAAATTTATTCAGTCGAAGAAATCGTCTCTAAACATGCCGTGATGGTCACCACATGATCGGTTAACACACACAAAATTAACCCAAGTTGAACATGGAATATAAATTCAATACATCTCAATTGGACATTGGCACCCGCTTGCCGTGGGCCCATCTGTGAAGTCTGTCCATGTTGGTCTGGTGGTCATCAAATACGTCACATATTGTGTTAGCCTGGTTTAGTAGTGCTGAAAACAGGACCAGGCACACCCGAGAAACAATTTCTGAATATTTGTTGTGTTCATATTGTGTTGTGCCTATTTGATACAAAATTAATCAAACTACATGAGATAAATAGGCCAGAACACGTGAAAATAAAACCACAATGACTACTAGTCATCCAATGTAGAATCAAGTCTCAAAACAAACTGATGTACGTCTGTAATGTGGGATGCGAGTTGTTTGTTTCAAATTTCAATAACAGCGTGCCCGCGAAACAGCTGCGGACATGTCAAAATGTCGCGATTTTAGTTTATTTGACGAAAATGACATCAAAACCTTAAAATAACTATAAAGAGCATGCAACACAGTATCATGTGAAATGGTTACATGCGATCAGAGAAACGGCTAGAAATGGTCAATTGTCATTAATATCTCTGTAACAACTTTGAACAAAATTGGTTCAGCCATGTCCGAGAAATGATGTCGAAAGGACGAACATATTACCATTTCAAGCTTCAATTGAGTCCTGAACTCACCTACTGCTCATAAGCAAACTAAATGTATTATATTCTTTTCAGTTACTTGTTTGAACTTCAGGTATCCACTTGTACTAATGTCAGGTAACACCCCCACAACCTCTCAGTATCCCTTTGAAAACCTCAATCCCCATAGGTGCATACCTAATACATTCGACTTTGTAATCTGTTTATAACAATTTACTTATATTTTCAATTGTAGGCATTCTTTATCAAGAGAACATGGCAATTATTCCAGTGATAGCAAATATCACTTTCAATGCTACCGCTGTGACGGACAACCAGATCCTTACAACCGTCATGTAAAATTCACTGTATGCTGCCACAGACAGCTGGAATATTACGACTGGAACAACGATATTTCTGCGAGCACTATTCCGCACCTTAATACTGCCTTGTAGGAACCACCTCGTTTGTCCTGGAATGATATCCCACATATTGTGTCCTTCATAGTATGTTTTGTATTGGGTTATTGAAATTTTATATGTATTTATGTAACTGGTACACAAAACAGAGTTCATATTCTTGAAATTAATAGAACACCATGGCTCTATTATTCAATACGATTCATTAAAGCCAGCAAAGAAAAACATACAACAATGACAAATGATACATTTACTTTCCGAAAGAAAGAGAAAAAAACCTTCAAATTTCAAATATTACACACGTAATGAGTATGGTGAATTTTAAGTTTGGCCTCGACCTACTAGAGCAACAACATTCAAAATAACATAGGTAACACAGTGGTTTGGAATATTGACTCAATAAGAGTAGAAAGACCATTCAACAATGAGTTGTAATAAAGCACCATAATGACTCCAAATCGTATAAATATTTATGTAAATGAAGTGACGATATACATATATATAAATCAATACCAGTAATAATGAAGTACTGTGAACATACATTGTACAAGAATGTTACCTATATATCGAATTGTGTGGGATAATGTTCTCTATGCATTGCATACCCACCATTCAAGTCACCAAACCCCATTCATACAACAATCTGTATGGCAAACATTCACTCTCAAAAAATATGACATTTTGATGTAGTAACCAATTACTTGGGTCCTTAAGGCAGCTGTAACAACTTTTGCAAAATTGTGTCCTCATGGAATACAATACACTACACTAAACGGTTATAAATTAAATGGTTTGCAGTCCGTCACATGTCAAATTAAACTCCTTATCACCTTACCCCCAATGAAAACATAACAGCATGATCAAAGCAATACAATGCACTTTCCCTTGGCTCCAATGATTGAGAATGTGGCTAACTGCCAAACAAATTGAAATACAACTATGTTGTATAATAACTATTAATCAGTGTTCATTTCACACGTAACATCATAATTAGTCCTTATGTGTACCCACAGCTGAGAGCCATCACCATGGTAATTATCTATCTGGCCGATGGAATGTCACATAATACAACTTTGGAATGTGAAAGAAGTTTTGTTGGCAATAGTTAACATTATTCTTATACACCAAGAATAGTGGTCTATGACATTGGGATTGAGAATGTACTTGTCATCCCTGGAATTAATTAAAGCGAGTTTGCCAAGGCTATATAAAGAATTCACACCCAGGATCACTATTATTTTAACACTTCAAAAATTCAATTGCGAAACTATTATAGATGTGTTACACTAAAATCAGGAATGTCAAATTGTTCTGCTCACAAAACATGCAAACATATCCACAAAATCTTAGGAAAAAACACATAAAAAAAAAGAGTTGAAAACGCTTTTCAAGTCTTTGCAACCTTAATTGCCAGAAATGGTATGACATTCTTTTCATGACATTGCCAAATGTATTACATCATACTGATATAGAGTACATAATCCATGATCCATGTCCATTTCTGACATATTCTTTTCAATATAAACCAATTTTGAGTTATTTATTTAAATTATGTCAATTTTGTTAAAAAAAACAAGCAAAATGTTTCACTAAGATCTGGACTGATTATTGTTGGCCACTGATGAAAGTGAGAGATAACACTGCTACAGCTTATTAAAGTGTACTTTAAAATGGTATGTTCAAATTTATTGAGGTTTCAACACTATTGTGACATATATTGGATATCAATATGTGAGGATTATGTGAAATTCTTGTACATGTATACCATCCAATATATCACATACTGACAGTTTACTTGTACCTCTCTAATAAAAGTAGACATATTTTGTTTGGAAATGTTAGTACATTCCTTAGCATGATATTTCGCAAATGTTGCCGTGACTTTGTTTCATAAACCAAATAACTGCATAAGCACGATTAGTTTTCGGCTTCACGCATTCCTACTCCTCAATAATAACAGGTGAAAACAGAACAACGCTCGTATGTATGAACAAAAAAACAAAACGTTTTGACAATTATGCATATGAATACCCTTGTTCTGCAGTATAAACCCATTGTAGATTTCTGTGTCTATTTATTTTATGATGGCAGATAGGCCCCCTACTATTATAACTCACATAATCAGACCATGACTAGAAGTACTGTATACAATAGCACATTGGAATTGTCACAATCTTGTTGCCAGGTGTGCTAGCGACTAACATAGTTCAACTAATTTTAACGTTATGAATTGTCACACATTTAGGTGTGTCCAGGTGTTATTTTTGCTATTATAGACTTTGTTTCTATCTGTTAATATTGCAAATCTTCTGAAAAATTCTCAGTAAAAACATTTTACAGCCATTTTTTTTGTCAATTGATGGAGAAAAGAGTTGCCTTATTTGCCCTATTTTAGCTGGACCCCACGTCAAACATTGTGGAAACAGTCTTCTCTTATGCAAAATTATCTGACATTTTCAAAAATTGAAAAAAAAAAACAATCACGCAATATATACAATTTTCTTCGAAAAAACCAGCTTTGTTGGTAATTTATGAATATGCAAATTAGGAGGTAATTAGCATATATGATATCATAAATAATTGGGCCAATCCACGATCTACATGTTGGTACTAGCTTTACATCTGTATCTTCATATGTATTGAAAATATAGATCTTTTTGATGATTTCATGATATTTTCAGGTTGCCATAGCAATATGTCAATTTTCACACCTTTCAGGGCATTTTCCGTCCTGGAAATAGACATTTTTGAAAAAGTCATAACATTTTGCATAAGAAAAGTCTGTTTCCACAATGTTTGACTTGGGGTGCAGCTATACTCCAAATTCTTGGCCTTAGCTTCCAGACTAACAGCTGTTTCCCTGGGACAGAAAATCATGATCACAACTTTCGCATTGTTTGGACAATTGATTTATACATTATTTACCATGATATGTTTTGAACCGTAAAAAGCACGTTTAACTGCTAAGACAAAACAAGAACAGGAACAATACTACTTTTCGTGTGGTTTTCAGTGTCCTCCAGGCTTCGGTGAGCTCCCGCGACCTCTGACCCAGAATAGCGTCGGCGAATCGGCAACTCGTGTTTTGTCTGTACATTTAGTTTATAGATCATAGTACATAACAATAATAATAAAGGCTTATCGACTACTGATGATTTAAACAATTAGTTTATAACTGTATTTTGTCTGTTTTTCCAGTTTTCCAGTCTTCATCCCATGTCTATCTTTATACATGCGTACAGTATATTATAGTTTTTTGGAATTTCCTGTGATTATGACTTGTATTATCACTACACTCAGGAAGGTAAAAACAAAATTTGGCAATCAAGCATCATCGCGTAAATGCTACTCTGATTTGTTATCCATTACCATGGTGATATCAGCCGCTGACGCCTTGCTTACAGTCTTGTTTGATGTGTATAATTGATTGAGGATCACTTTAAAACCGGAGTAATTCCGTTGTTCGATCAGAACGTCACTGGCAATGCTATTGATTAGAGGTGTCAATCGGTCTAATCTCCGGCAAACCTAGGTCTCGGCTAGTTGATGGCTCACGCTTTGTCGAATGTTGCCAAACTTGGCCGTGTACACGCATCGCGAATCCTCGGTCTCGCGTGCATTTCAGTCATTCTCTGTATTTAGTTCAGATAAGATCCCCCGGAAACGAGAGAGTTTTACGTCGAGTTGCCGAATAATTTATTTTTCAGCCAAAATTGACCATATTTTAGAAAATTTACGATTATTTGAATGTATAGACTAATAATATCTTCATAGCAATGTTCTTGAATGTATTATTAAGATAAATGAACGACATTTACCGGAATACGGCAATTTTTTTTCGATAGTTACTCGATTTTTTTTAGGATAGTTCACGTCGCCATGTTTACAACAAAGCTAGTCGTATGTTATTATATTTCGCCAATTTGAAAATATGACACATCAGGACAAAAACTGTACCAGTCACCTAAATCGAGGCAAAATTAATATAACGGTCTATAATATAATAGTACTGACACAATGTTTTGTGTAGCAACGTTGCGTCCAGATAACGTTTATTACTCATTTCTACCTGATTTATTCTCACTGCTATTTAGTTGACCTGCAACTGAATTCTATGCGTTCTGTTTTATTGTTACCCGGACCTGTTTTATGAATGTATGGGAACCCGCGAGAATCAGTAATGTAAAGAAAATATGTTCATGCAATTTAAGTGTGTCTGGTCAATCTCTCAAATCCTGCATGAATGTATTCAAATTGAGTCGAAACTACCACGATTGAACAGTATGCTGAACAACTTTCCGCTTTGGCGGGAGCATGAAGCCAAAAATATATTTGTTTTAGCTCCACGGCAGGAGTTACTGTGGAGAGAAACGTGAACCTGTAGTCAAATCACAGTCCCTCCATCAGTCGAACCTTTGCCGAGGTTGCAAAAGAAAATTTCAAAAGTTTGAGAAAATGACGCAAACTTGATATCTTGACACATTCGTCGAAGCGATATGTACAGGTAATTAATGGAAAGATTCGATTTTATGCAGAGAAGAACTTCCCACGGTATACGAGAAACACTGCATAGTCTGCTTTTGATTATCGCACTGGAAGCGGCGCGAAGAGGCCAGAGTGTTATGTAATCATAACTCGTACGTACGACATATTTATATTTAATTTGTAACTCGTGCGTACTACAAGTTCGACTTATTCATGTTATTCAATTATAACATGTACGTCATAGGCACGACAAATTTACATTTATTTATTTACATTTAATAAATATAAATATATATAACACAGAAGATCACAATCTATGAACAAAGCATGAATATTTCCTTCACAAACAATATTATCATAGCATAGATTTACGGCAACCATAGACACATATATACTATAAGGTTTATGTAAAGACGAACAAATCGTTAAACAACCTTGAAGAATAATAATAGTGTCACAGAACCTCTATACATAACAGGGGGACTGCGCTAGTATGTTGAACCACAGGGACGATATTAGTGGCGTTCACGTTAGAAATTTCGACACGCGCCGAGAATCGAACCGAGTCGGCGCGTGTGTGTGAACGGTCGGGACCGAGTCGGCACGTGTGGACGTGTATTTGATCTCGGTCTTGGAAAGAAATGCAGCGAGATATGGTCGAATGCTGTAGTAATGAATGAAATGAATGCAGAACGTGCTTGGCGACGCATATTTATGTGTAATTCTTCTACAAACACAAAAG